TTTAATTAGATACAGGATTTTTTCGTGATACCAGAACCAACGCATGCAGACGCAAATTCTAAAAAAAATTGTTTTAGCTCCTACTGTTCTTATCAAGACCTTACATATATTTTTTTCTTAATTATCTCCCACAGAAAATACATAACAAACTTTATCTACTTACAATTTTAATATATGTCATATAGATTATAAAATTATTATTAATTAAGATTAAGAATTTCGTTCGGAAGTCGCTTAAAAATTCAAGACAAGCACACTTCAAAAACCTTTAGGTGTTAATTAATTAAGCCGTCTTTTCTGTTTATAATTATAATAGTTTGAGGCACATATTATAATCAAAGCTACATAACTGTAGGCGTAATAACGTGTTGTAATACTGGCATGTTACAAATTAGTTTAATTTAATGTTGGAGCAGTTCTTGAAACTGTCACCCAATATTGCCCCTTTAATATGTATGGTTCAAAGTGTGAGATATAAAGGTTCAAATAAAAATAATTCTTTGTTTTATATGTATTTTCAATTAAAATTGTATGTATAACATATATTAGGTATAGTACTATTATATATATATTTTATTGCAGAATATTATATTTACTTACTAGTTTAATAAAATAAAAAATATGTAACCCATCTCCTTTACAACTAATATAATAAATCCGTCTTATTTATATTTTTCCCAAGGTTGACTATATTAGATTTCTGCATTAAACTGTAGCATTAAATTATTTTTTTAACTGACATTAAAAAAGTCTCCTTCGTTTCTCAATTCGGTTGTATGTTTTTTTTATGTTTGTTACTTCATATCTCCATCAGTTATAAACCGATGTACAAAATTCTATTTTTATATGAAATGCATTAGGCCCATAGGATTTTTTTATCAAAATCCATTTAGCAGTTTAATTTTAGAATCAATTCTTTTTTTGTACTGTCTCTACATTATATAAGTTTTGTAAAATGTAATAAATAAAGAAGTAAATATATGTGAAAAGATATTGTTTGGATATTTAAATATTTGTTACACAATAAAGCTTAATATGTGACAAAATTAATACGAGTATATTAGTTCCTTACTTAGTCTTTAAATAATGGCTACGAATCAGTTAATGCCTACGAAAGTTATGTGCAAATATCATAATTTAAGATTTTGTTCCACAAAAAACACCGATTTCAATCGTGCTCGACTTCACAGACTTCAATCGATCGTGGACGACTTTAATCGAGGCCAACTTCAATCATGACTGACATCAATCGATGCCAACTTCAATCGCGGCCGACTTCAATCAATGTAACTTCAATCTTGGCCGACTTCACTAACTTCAACCAATTATTTTGATTTCAAAATTAAACTACTGTATCGATAAAACTTCAATAAGACCAAACTGAAAGTACTTCCAGATAAAAAATATTTTTTTCTAAACGATTTATAAATAACCAAGTTATGAGGTAACTAACCAAAAAAAATACAACCGAATTGTGAATGTTTTCCTTTTTGGAAATCGGTTGAGAATAGGCTGCATAATGAGTTGAGGAACGTAGAGAATGGACCTTTTATACGGAATTCATTACTTGGTAATTGCCTGTGCCTTACTCCAGTACCTAGCTACTCACATTTTTATAGAAGAGCAAAATTGTTTTTCTTTGTGTTCATTGAGCAGAGTAAACGCGGGCGTGTTTTTACCGCATTATTTACGACGTGATGAATTAGGCTATCATTTTTTTCATGAACACAGTTCTCTGACAATTTTATTATAGCACCTAATTAATTTAATAATAATTCCTTATAGTTAACTAAGTGTATCCTATAATTTTGCTTACGAATATATATGGTGCAAGTACCAAATTTTTTTCAGATCAATTGAGCCAATTATGCAGGATTGAATAGCAACATAACCTTCAAGAAAAGAGTATATTGCTTTTTAAAAGGCCAGCAGCACACCTGCAATGACGCTGGTATTGTGGGTGATCATGGGCGGCGGTAGTCACTTACCATCAGGCATTTTATATTAACTTTAATAGACAAAATTTTAATACCTTGGGTTATATTATAATAAATTTCGTACAATCTCTAGTTTTTAATGCAATAGCAATATATCCTATGTTAGCCATAATGTATACTTATACTTCATAATGTGGCTTTCTATAGTTGAAAGAAATATTAGAATACATTGAGTAGTTTCTGAGTTTGTTTATTACAAACAAATATACAAAAATTCAAACCTTTCTTCTTTATAATATTAGTACCTACAGATAAAAAGAATTATTTTAGTTAATTCAGAATTAACGAAGATATAAAATAAAACCAGTCAACTACGAGTTAGACTTACATTGAGGGCCTAAACTTCAGAGATAAGGGTGGAGAAAGGCTATATTTTTTTTCGCATTTTGTATCGTAAGTCGAAATCTATTCTACAAATTGGAAAAACCACTTTTAGAATGCACAAAAAATCAACGAACCAATTCACACTAAGTATTCTATTTTAGTATAGAACCCTAATAATACTTACGAGTCGAAATTGAGTATCTCCTCTATTTTGAAGTCAATGAACTTTTAATCGTACCTTTTACTACATGATCAATATTCAAAATATATATTTATAAATAAATTTCTCAATAAATGTGTAAGTAAAATAAAATTGGGTATAAAGACTCTCCGAGATATTAATATCATATAGAAAGGTTTACATTTATATCTGTTACCACGCAAAGTACACATTTATTGCTTCCAAGAAGCATTCGAGAAGTTGTTATTACAGAATATAATCTCCCAGTGTTTATTTGTGCATCACAACGTTTTATTATTTTAGTGAAACCTACAATAATAATTGTTTCAACATTGTTTCAACTTCTTTTATATTGTTTCCAAATAATAATGTATTGTTTAAAAACATCACAAAATACAATACAGAAAAATATAAATTTTGTGTGTGTTGCCATGTTTACTTATATTTTTATATTATTTGCTGATTTAAGGTAAAAAATAAATTTTATATATTACCTGTTACGTGCTACACTAAATCTTAAATATTTGTATTGTTTTATTTGAATTTAGAATTTTAAATTTAAAATATTTGGCATTTGATTGTTATGGTGCTATAAAATGAACGTTTAAAAAATATAAAAAACAAATGTAAATGTAAACAATCAAAAGCGAACTCACCCCACGGTTGTTTAAAAAGGAATTCTTTGAAATCGATGTGCAGTAGCTTTGGCTGTTTATTTTTTTACTTTGCATTTTCTTGTTTTTTACATCGACCCGTCCTGGCTTCGCACGATTAGATAAGCAGAAAAACAAATTAGAATATTGCTCGCTGATAATGTAGCTTTCTGTAGGTGAAAGAATTTTTAAATCGGTTAAGTATATATATATATTTTTTTTTTATTTATATATTACTAACAAAAACCAAATCTGTCCTCTTCATAATATTAATGTAGTTTATTATGTATCAAACAATATATATATTAATAAAACTAAAAAAAATTATTATATACCGGTCAATTACGAATTAAGCTCACCCACGCCATTTCAAAGAAAATTATCTCACAAGGCTAATTAAAAATTTAGCCACCAACTTTTATTTTCGCACCAATCTTGGCCATGATTAATTAATAATGTTTCAGACTTAATTGAAGGATCGCTACACAGATATTTTCCGATGGCATAAAAATTCATGTTCTTTTGTGACCATCAATTATATCGCACAATAATTGTTGGGTGACAGCAAGAATGGCCTTTGTTTTTGATTAAATTTTCATTGTACAATTAAATCTTTAATTTATGAGTATTATACCAATAATTTACGCCAGATATAAATTTATTAGTTTTGAACTATTAAAAAGACATACTAAGCAATTCAATAAATTCGATTTTAGTCCGATTAATTGGCTCAATGTAATAAACAAAGTTTTCAAATTGACTGTATTATTTATTGTACCCCCAAATATTCATGTACTAGTTTTTAATAATATATGGTAATAACATAATTTATAATTCTTCCTAATTCTGTATAATGATGGAATAATTATCTAATATCGCCACTTCCATTTAATACCAAAATGTCGTAAAAACTGACAAGAAAAAGTCAGCTAAGTGCGCCGAATTCCGAAGAGTTCCGAACACAGTCTTATCTGTACGATATTGCAAACGCCTACAGCTCACGCTCAGTGTACCGAGGCACGCAATCAGGCTCGTGACGGTGACGCACCGTCGCTCATGACTAAGGATCACGAATTGATTCCGAAACTAGTCGAACTTTTTCGATCTAATTACACGTAAGTTAAACTCTTAGTTATTGCATTAAAATATATTATGTCCTTACGAAACTTTTAACAATAATACGCCGAGGCAAAAGAATGAGAACTAAAAATAAAATCCTATACTAATTGACCAACGTAATAATAGTAGGAATAAAGCATTAATTAGTTAAACTAAAATATTTGCTTGTAGAGGTCATGACTATGATAATAACTAATGTTCAGCTAATATAGAAATAAGAAATAATAATAAATGCCACACAATCACATTAATCACACAGTTATTACTACTAGATATCCTATAATGTAGGATATCTTAACTTGGAACAAAACAACAAACATCTGGAGGTGTAACGTAGAATACCTAAACCCGAAGTAATTTAGAAAAATCCGTTTCTTCAATTGGCCCGAGTGAGAAACAAATTTCATTACACAAGCATTGCTGTGTCAAAACAATCTCATATGGAATACGTTCCCCGTAATGTGTTTCCTCCTATATATAATCCTGCAGTACTTAAACAGAGCGTAAAGATGCATTTGTAGGCTATCAAGATGACGATCGCCAAATATAAATGAATTAATTAATTATAAATTAATTAAACGATCGATAAATTGTTGTGATGGCAATCTTCACGTTTGGACCACATTACCTGCTTACCATCAAGTGGGGAGTGATCACTTTGACTAGCTTCTATATATAGAAGAAGATTCAAATTTGACAACATAAATATACGAGTACAATACATACCATAATAAACATCGTCCAGCTCCTTATACCTCTTTGCATTGACGCCAATCCTCCAACTATACAACAGCACCACCAATATTGATATATTCTGTAACAAAAATAAAAAATTGTATATTTAGTACATCTTAAAGAATAATTTTGCAATTATTTAAAACCGACTTCGTATAGAAACAGGTCCTTAATTCGACAGATTTTTTTGTTAGATGAATTTTGACCAGATATTTGTGGTGTCGGCATAGAATGGACTACCCTTTTCTTTCCAGTAGGTGTCGTAAGAGGCGACTAAGAGAACTCAATGGCCGAGAAACTGGCAGCAGCATCCCTCTTAAAATATTGCCAAAACCTAACTGTGGTTGCCAACACGCTTGCCAAGCGAGGCAATTACTAGCAAGACTCCCCTTATGGGAAAGATTTAGGATTTAGCAGTGGACAATTTACAGCTGATATAATAATAATAAAAAGTGGCACATAAAATTCTTTTCAATTACTACTAATATAAGTGCGTAAATTTAATTTATATTCTGTGACCACTAGTTTCTATTAGGTAGCTGTCCCTTGTTCGTCATTCTTGGATTCCGCAACGAAACTAATTATTCACAAGAAGTCAAAATCATCGCTGATTGGTCGTAATAATTACATGCAAATTTAAAAAGGAGATTCGACAGTAATTTTATCTTTACCAATTATGCATCAATTTAGATGATCATTTTCATAATCGGTAGACTTTACTCCCATATTAGTTCGACAATGTGTCGGTGACGAAGTAACAACTTTTTGAGAACAAAATTGTAAAAATCATTTAGTAACAAAAATCATAGATAGTAATAGTAATCATAGTTCGTTAGATAGGAATAAAATAAATTTTATACCCATCTGTGAAGTACTTAATAGATATAAGACGTTGTAAAAAGCAATATAAAAGGTGAAGGATCCACCAGGGTACCGGGAGAGATAGATTATATACGGCGTGTTTGTAACAATGAAAAATGAATGTAATATTGGAGGGAAATCGGGTCGCGACTCAGATCTGAGAATTTTTTCGGTTGTCTACACACGCACTCGCTTTGGGACACGGCAAAATGGTAACACAAGATTAAAATATCCAAATCGTACTTTCTTGTATTAAGAGACATATAAGAGTATTAATATAGTCAAGTATTCATAAGATATGTAATAGCGAACCTTGGCCAATAAGCCGCATAGATATGGACGACACACTTTTAGAAAGAAGCTGATTTCAGAAGATTCTAAACTATGAAATGGTCATTATATGCCAAGTATAGTTTCGAATCTTAAACTCAACAAAAGTTTAAATCCGGCACTTAAAACTGTTGCTGCTAAAGAAAGGAAAATATTATTCACTATATTCACGAATATGAATTCAGATTATTAATTCATAAATATGCTAGTAGTCGTAAGATCGAAATCCTAACTTAGTTTTAGCACAGTCTGCAGAACTATTTATTTTAGATAGTGTCTCTGAAACTACTTTGTCTATTTCGGATTCAAAGTTCGAATTTGACTGGCACTATAAGTTTGTGGATCAATATAATTCCCGATTAACCCTTTGAAATCTATGGCAGTGGTAATGGCATATTTCATCATCATCATCATCATCATCATCATCTTACTGCCCTTATCGTAATTATTTGGGGACAGCGTAATCTCATTATAATAGTCCTTTTACTCTCTACTAATTGTACTTACATTCACATTTCAGATGGATTGTAATTAGTAAAAAACTATTCGTTACAATGTGAAATTTGTATACACACGATCATCATCATCATCATCTCAGCCATTATCCGTCCACTGCTGAACATAGACCTCCCCCATATACTACCTTAAGGAACGGTCCTGAGCCACCTGCCTTTGTATATACTTACAATAATACCGTGTTCTAAATTTAAATTTTTAATCTTAAACGTGTGAACGTACTCATTGAATTTTTTTACAGAGTATAATATACTTGTTTGGTGTACTACTTTTTTTACTGTAGGGACGTTCATTAAAATTCTGCTTCGGAAACACAAAGCAGATTTTGTGTTAGCGATCTCTACTTGGACTCGCCTCTGAGTGCTCTCGATGTATCTAACAATACCCACTTGCTGAGATCGACGAGTTATTGAGGCTTGTCATTAAACAAAAGAAATAAAATCGAGAAGATTTGCTTGTTTGTTTCTATATCAATATTTTTATGCTTTAACCTACTTCAAAATGGAGAAGGTTCTAAATCCTTCTGTATACTTGTAATGTTATAATTGTCCTATAAAATATAATAATAATTATATATTATATACTTGTATTGATAGTTATTTTATAAGTAGATCTCATCCCTATATAGGGTTTATTACTTATGAAGTGACATTTTATTAGTTTCAACTGTATAAATAATAGTCGAGATCGATCTAATAATAATAAATGATATTTTTTCACAATTAAATATTTTGTTTAGTACATACGTAATGAGTAACCTTAAACGTAACTTAGGTTTTAAATTACATACGCGCAGGTGGGACTGTGTGTAAAACCGCCACACCACTAAAGGTCGTCAACCTTAAACCAGTGGTACGAGTACTTCCTTTCATTTTAATAATTTTGACATTAAAATAATAAGTATTTTTTTTTCGGGTATTAATATAAAACACGTAATATAAACATAAAAAAACAGAAAAACAGAAACTCACTAGAGGTTTATCTGTCACTGTCCAAACACAATTACTCGTATATTCGCTTATTTGGTAAATAGTATGATTTTACAATATATTTTTTTTACATTTTTACGTATTTACATTATACACATATTTTGTCAGATATATTCCCAAGTGGATATATCACATACATTGTTAAATCCGAGCAAAATATATTTAGAGAGATTTACCATAAATATCCAAGATTATCTAGGTAAGTCCATTTTGTCAACTTATAACAACTGTTTATCTAGTATATACATATATACTAGATATTTACTCTATTGTTATATTCTTTTTATGTTCTTATTATTTAAAACATATCTTAAAATAAAAAATAAAACCTTTTAAAATATGTTAAAATTTCAAACATTGTTATAAAGATAGCAAGACAAAGTTCTTAAGAACTAAGAGATAAGAACTTTGCTCCATTATACTGTAGTATTATTAAATGCAGTAATTTGTAGAATCGTTTGCGGTATTACTCGTGTCTACCTTAAAGGCTTACTTGAAGGAAGCGCGCCATACGACAAAGTTTTCAACTTGCAAAATGCATGTGCAAAGTTGCAAGTTATAGCCACATTTTAAGATAGTTTTACAACTCTCCTAAGTCTTACAAGCTCAAAGGATAGGACAATTTGTTCGACGACGTGGCTATAAAATTGTAACATCCTACGGTATCAGGCCACTGCCTAGTTTAATTCCAGCTACCTATGATATATTTGTATTTTCTAATAAAGGTCGTAAGTGGCATATTAAATATATTTAATTAAATATTTTACATTCATGTGAAATAAAAGTAATTTTTAATATTAATGGTCAGTTAATGTGGCTTATTATCAATATTTCAATAAGGAAAAATGATAATTTAAATCCTTATAAGTACATTTATTTTTTCGTACAAAAAGTCGATCGTGTCTTCTATTATATATAAATTTTAGACGAAGCAAAATAGATGGTAAGGGCCACTGGGATTGCATTACTCCACCCAAAAGATGAATGGAATAGGTTCAAAAGGGCGCAGTGGTGAAAAATAGAGGGTAGGGCATTTCGAATTGTCAATGTCTGTGGCAATATAGGCAATCGATAACATCAATTGACTTTGGTTGGGAAAATCATTTTTATTGCATTTCTATAAGTCGGTTGATAGTTTTTCTTATAAAATTATTGTAACATGTTTTAAAAAATTATACTTTTATGATTTGTTACCAGAGGGAGATTTTATACAAAAGTCGTTTGCTTAGGCACCTCTATCCAATTCATGTTTCTACTGTGAAGCAGTTATATTTGCACAGCTGTGTTTCGGTTTGAAAGGTGGGATAAGGCAGTGAATTTACAGGGTACAAAGGAATAACACCTCTCATGCGTTGCCATTCCTGAGCAAGTCCTCAGGAAGTATCATGGGTGAAACAGTATACTCTGTTATGTCCATGGTACTGTTCATATCTATAGGCGACGGTTATCACTTTTCATCAGGTGGGTCGTCAGCTTGTTAAGTTACATAAAAAAGGCGTATATGCCACATGTCGCTCACAACGTTATACGTTATATTGGTCATAAATAACATTATTTATATATGCATACCTCAGGAATGGCAACGCATGGAGGTATCATGAGAGAAACCGTATATTCTGTTACATTATGCTCATGTCTATAGGCGACGGTGGGCCATCAGCTTATTTATCATTCTAAATTGCATAAAAAATATTAAAACAATATTCCATATTTGGATTATATTACATTACAAATCTTCATCTACCTACGACTTCGTCCATGTACCCAGATGTATTGACTAATTGAGATAAAAAGTACCTAATCCATGTATTTCTACATCCTAAATACTAAGTACATGGCAAATTTCGTGACGGTTTGTTGAGCCATTAAATCGTCTAGAAGTAACATAGGTACATATTCAAAGTTATATTAATTATAACATATAGTAAAATTGGTCGAGTATCCATTATATAGATATAAGTACAGTATTTTTTTTTAATTAAGATATTTAGTGTATTTTGGGAATTCCGCTTGAATTCCTGAAATCGGAAATCCTCTTAATGAGGGTTGGAATTATTATAATCGAATGTTTAAAGGGCATTTTATTCTATATAGCTTTTATGATATTTTAGTTACGTATTAAACATGAGTAGGGTTTTAAATTCGTATGGAACAATCAGTTGCTAAACGCGTTTGATAGCATGAATGTATAATATTGAGTATATATTGACTCAGTAGTCATGGTCATGGACTTATTTATAAGTTCACTTCATATGTTATTTATTCATGTAAATAATTGAAATTACATTTGTCATAAAACATATTTGGTAATAAATGTGATTTTATAACATTTTGTTGATTATGTAACTTTGTGAAAATATTGTAAAGGTGATTTGTGACATAC